GAGTTCAGAGTATGTACCTAATGTATATTTGTAATATTATTGCATAGTACAGTGCTGTATGTGGCCTTTTAATCACAATATTTACTTGCGAATAAAGTATTAAAGAGAATCTAGAAATATGATCCCTGGTTATTCTTCCAGTGGTCTGTTTAGCTACAGGTAACTGTTGCTTTTTTCCTTGTCAGGGCGGATAACTGGCTTGTTGACACTGGATCAGAGCCATCTCAACATAATGGCCTGTCTCTATTTGGCAAGGTCAGTGTACTCACAGGGTGGGGTATATTATCCTTTATAATCTGTAATAAGTTACAGATTAGTGTGTTAAATGTATACTTTTGTCCTGGTTTATTCGCTATGTGTTCACTTAACTTCACTTTATTACAGACATGACCAAACATTACTTCAAGGTGTGTAAAAATGAAAATGTCTCACAATTGAAATGATGCCTTTTTCTAGTACAAATGTATCTTAGCTCAAAATATTGACATAGTCCTCCTAAAGTATGAATATTAGAAAGTGACGTAAGAAACACCTACGATGTAAATACAATTGACAATGTAATATTTTCTTTTTCATACTGTGTGCGTATAAAGGTATTCAGTTCATGTTTTATTGTCCGATTGAATCAGACAGAAAAAATACTCTTTAGTGTCAAAATGCTTAAACAATACAGATTGTTATTACATGAAAGAGGACAGTGACAATAGAAATGAAAGAATTTAAAGATAAGCAATGTATAGAATAAAACAATCATAGTGCTTTCCTTACAACAGCAACTAATTGTGGAAATGAATCGTCTGGGGATGCTGATCGACTTGGCTCATGTGACTGTTAAAGTGATGAACCAGGTGCTGGACATGTCTAAAGCTCCAGTCATCTTCAGCCACTCCTCTGCCTACAGCGTCTGTCCACACAAGAGGAACGTCCCCGATGATGTTCTCAAGAGAGTGGTGAGTGTGTGTGTGTATGGTTGGGGTACATGGTGCAAAAGGGAAAGATGTCGCTGGGCAATGACCAGGCCGAAGATTAAAGTTATACGGGACAGTTGTGGAAGAAGTATAAAGATCCTTTACTTCAGTAAAAGTACTAATACGTTAATGTAAAATTACAAATCCGCTTACATAATTTTGCTTCAGTAAAAATATAAAATGATCATCATCAAAATGTACTTAAGGTATCAAAAGAAAATTGCCCCCTGTGAGTGATGTATTATTATATATTACATAAGATATTGTTAATACGAATGTCTAAGTCGCATTTCACTGTTGTAGCTGGTTTGTTTTATTCTAGTGGTTCCCAGCCTAGAGTTTGGGCCCCTCAACGGGTCGCAAGATGAATTTAGATTTAGATGAGAAGATTTGTGATATTATTAATGAGAGAGGAAAGAAGAAAAAACAAAGTTCTGCTCGACAAATATGTATTCTTTTCTCTTATCCTTGTTTTTTTTTTTGTGAAATATTAGATAATTTGGTTAAAAACATTTAAATCAAACAATCTGAGAAGTTTAGTTAATGTAAATGTCTCTTTGGTGGAACTGCAAACAACTCATTGACATCTGGAACAAGTAGACACTGCTTTGTTGGGAATGTTGGGGGGAAAATGTGTGTAATTTACAATATGAATATGTTACATACAAAAAGTACAGTATTTCCCTCTGAAATATAGTGGAGTGGAAGAATGAAAATAACTCAAACCGGTACTTTACTACAGTACTACTAAATGTCACTGAGCAAATGCTACCACTGATATCAGGAGTAATGTGGAAAGCAGAAGAATAAAGTGTCAGAAGACAATCAATGGCCTGACTGCAGTAAAATGACCAGCTGACTTTGATAACACATCCAGCCTTTACTGCTTGTTATCTCAGAAAACACACCCCTTTAAATGGTCTTTTTATCATACCATAGGGTAGAAAGTGGTAAATCAGCACCTTGTGTCCAGTTCATCTGATGAATGCATAATGGTAGTTTCCCAGTTACAGGCATAAAACAGTCAAACAACAGGGTTATTGCGCAGCACTGTAAAATAACAAACCGATAAAAAAGCAAGAGGTCATTACCCTTGTGTGCTTTTTTATTATTGTGAGTTTGAATGCATCTCTTGCCCAGGTCCTGTCTTCCCCTGTTCCTGGCCACTACAGAGTGTCTGCTGTCTAACAAAGAGTAGTGTAGTAGTGTCTTGTTCCATACTATATGTCTTAAGTCAGTAAGTGTTTCACAATCATGTAACATCCTGTCTGTCTCCAGAATCAAACGAGAGGAATTGTCATGGTGAACTTCTACAATGACTATGTGACCTGCAGCAAGACCGCTAAGCTCTCAGATGTTGCTGGTAAAAGACTGTTGTGACCTTGACTTCCCTAGACTTGGTTAAATATTAACAATTAATAAAAAAATGTTTCTGTGTCCATCCACTTTGTTCTCATGGTTACTGCTTTCACCATAGATCACTTTGACCATATAAAGAAAGTGGCCGGGGCGGGCATTATTGGTTTTGGTGGAGATTACGACGGTGTGACAAGGTGAGTATAAAACATTCAAACGTTGATTTAAACATTAGCTTTTGGAATGGTGGGCTTAAACAGTAAAAGACAAAAAAATTGTTAGTTAATCGTGAGTAAAATTTCTCAGACTACCAGAGGGTCTGGAGGATGTGTCCAAGGTGCCCAAAGTGGTGGCTGAACTGCTGAGGAGAGGATGGACTGATGAGGAGGTCAAAGCTGCTCTGGGAAACAACTTGCTCCGTGTCCTAAGAGAGGCTGAGACGGTGAGGAATAGACACACCTAACCTTAAGCCCAATGTGTGTTTCTGATATCACTTCCAGCACCATGCAAAAACATCTGATATGCTTTAAAAGTTACATATCCGTGCAGCACTGCAAACTTTATTTCTGGACTTTGTCTTCAAAGGGGGAACTCCGCAGAGTTTATACACCCAGATCAGTTTACTAACGGAAGAAAATCCATTATTATTCCTTGTATACATCCTATACTAAGTGGCTACAGCAATGTAAAGTAGAAGCAAAATGTCATAAAATAGATTAGTCAAAAGCAGTCAGATAAATTCTATATACAGAACTGCATTCAAATGATTGGAGTCATGAAAGTAAACATGTTCTTTGGCAGCTGGTGAGTGTCACAATGCCTTTCTGGCTGCTGCCTGACAGTCTTTATCTTTGTGCGTCAGGTCCGTGACAGCCTGAATGGCAAAAATCCAGATGATGTTCCTATTCCATCTGATGAGGTGAAGAACACATGTAGGACGAGCTACGGTTACCGCAATGCTGGACCCGCACATTCACTCAGCACACTGGCCCTTCTGCTCACACTGGCTCTACAGGCTCTTATTGCATTAACGCCTTCATAGGCCGCTTGCCAATGCATCTGAGTGTATGTGCTTCATGAGTTTGTCCATGAATTCAAATAAAATCTAAAAATAGTTGTTAATAGTTTTACTGTTTAACAGCTTGTTTCTTGTCTGATTTTAATGTTTTTTTGCAGGTTAAATGACCAATAACCAGTGACGTAACAAAGATTACAAAGAGGTATGTGACATACCGACAACGTCACACAAATGTAATCTGAATGCACGTACACAAAAATATTTTCACAGGAAGCAGTAAAGTATATGTCCAAGAGAAGTGCTCCATCTAGTGTTCTGAGAGGATAACGCATCATAGATCCAAGACATCCCTGTGGCTTCTTTTCACCAATTTAGCATGTTTTTACTTTGGGGTCGATTTAGTTCTGTGAAGTGATGGCATAATTAAGATAAAAACAAGTCAATACCTTTTAGTTACAACACTTTTCATCTGACAAGGACACGGATAGGCAAACATTAAATGGAAAGAGATTCAACATAATAAAATGGTAACATGAGTTTCTTTGACTAACTGTAGGACCTTCAATCAATACAAAAGAACCTTTGTTGGCTCACTGAGGGTGAAATTATAAACTGACTATTACACAATGGCAGCTCCTGAAGGCCAATCAAATAGTGTGTTTGTCTCCTATTACATACACGGCAACCTTGAAGAGTTTAACATCCTTTTCAGTAACAACGTGACAGAATGTCCTCACTATTTAACTTTAAAGTCCCCCTCCACTCATAAATATGTTTCTAGTCCCTACAGTTGAATGTTTGAGATCAGAATAATGCATGTGCAGAGTTTCACATTCGTCTGCTGAAATTGGTGTTAAAAGTGTCTCTGTTATGTTTTAATAAAAGTCTGGAGGGGTTCTTTAAATATTAAATATAAAAAGAGGACTGACTCATATCAGGCAGTAACTGTGAAAATATATAATGCCCTTCAGTTAAGATTGGTGATGTTAAATTCTGAGGCTTTATAACCATTCAATTTTACTACTTTTCTATCTTTACTTACTTTTTGTCTGTCAGCTACAGTGATTAGTACATTTGCAAATTCATCAGCTACTTTCAGTGTCTGAAGAGAAGAGTTGTGTTAAAATAGCACCTTTAAATAATAAATTATAACCTAACAAATTAGTCGTTCGTGTTATTTTCCCACAAAAATCACATCCCAATATTTGACCAAATACTTCTCAGTGAAATATTTGGATTAACAAGGTTCGGTAATTGCACAAGGAAAGAAGGAGGAATATCCGTCATCATATTCAATGATCAGTGCATCATTTAGCGCCCTCTTGTGTGCTTCACAAGTATAACAAAAGACTCTAAAACAACAGTGTGAACTAGTGTTGTTTGTCCCAGTGCTCGTCGGGATCCTCTCAGTACTGCTAGTGAATCGGACAGACTTAATGAAAAATGCACGAGTTACTAATAAATGGACAAAGGGTTGCTGCTCACATGATAGACAGCGGCCGCACAGTTGAGCGAGCTTCTCTAGTGAAACTTAGTTAGAATCCCTTGACACAGACAAGCAGTGTGGCCTCAGCTGCAATGGCCAACACAATCAACAGTGTAATAATTGTTTTTTTAGCTCTCACAAAGGCTTGGATGACAAAAAACTTAACTGTTTTTCAGTGCAGAACTCTAAATGTACATTAGAAAATGTCACCACAATATAACGGCTTCTAGTGCAAATTATAAGAAGACAATGATCTACTGTTGAAAAGTTATAGACTTGGAGCCATCGCTCTAAAGTGCACTCAACCTCTTCAGTTGAGTTATGGCCAGACAATAATTAAATGAAGGATGGTGGTAGACTGTCTGTAGAGGTATGTGTAGAAGAAGGAGGAGGGATAATCCAAGTCTGTACAGAGGAGGATGAGGTTAACTCTGTTAATAGAGTTAAGGTACAGCTTCTCTCAGTTTCTCATCCTCCTCTCCTTGTGTTTCATTGTCTGACAGCAGAGGTGGATGACCTGGTACCGCAATCCTATAAGGCAAATTATCTTTAGTCAACATCCTTCTGGTGGCAGAGACCAAGCGGGAATAGTTGTCAGGGTTGTACTCCGACAAAGGGGGCCGGGTGCACAGTAATGGCAGGTTGTCCCTGTCGGGCCGTGACAGAAAGAGAGGAGGCCTGCGCTGGCTCTCGCCCTCCTTCAGGGAGTCTGGGAGAGGCTTGCGTTTGCTTTCAGGTAGGAGCATTATGCAGAGAACGGAGAGAACGGCGAAGGAGGCGAAGATGACGTGGTGGAGGAAATAGCCGCCGTTATTCTGGAGCTCCATCAGGGAGGAGGCGGCCATGCCAACACTGCCTGCTGCCAGCACCAGGCCAAGGCAACCACCACTGAGGCAGGGAAGAGGAACAGGAACAAAAATCATTAGGGTTTTATTTTTTATTTTTAAAAAGGCTAAATAATTCACTAAAACATCTGGGCACTGTAGTTTTAAGCAACCTTAGTCAAACAAGGGTACCTCACACAATTGTAGGAGAATATTTTTAGCAGTGAACTAATACACACAAAGTAAATTATATCAGGTTTTAGCTACACAGGCAAGTTCTCAGTAGGATTAACTTGTTCATTTTGGTCTTTTTATGGGATTTGTTGACAATAAGAAAAGCATATTGACATCCTTGTCACACTTACCGAACCACGGTCGGCATCACCTCACAGGCAAAGAACACACTGAGCATGGCGAGAGCCTGAGAGAACAACAGACCCACAACGGAGAGCACCAACACCAGGCCTCCATGCAGGTCTGACACAGAAAGGGACAACTTATTCATTTTCTGCAGCACCATTTAAAGCAGAGACAATCAACATTTTCTGACCTAGGGACCCACAACTGGCATGATCCCAACCTTTAAAGCTGTCAGGTGAATATCAATATGGCATAAGCATTTTATTTGTATAGCCCCATGTTGACCTGGAGGATGAGAATATAATCTACAGTGTTTCCTTCATATCTAAGCCTGCAGAAATGATCTGTTCTAGTTAACGGGTTCATAAACAGCCAACAGTCAACATCTGTTACAGAGTCTTCAAAGAATTAAATAAAAATATCCAAAATATCCAATTTTTTATTCTACTATAAAATATGTTAAATTCATTGAAGTTCCTCAGTACAAACACAGACTGATCTGATGGCCGCGCTGCCTTTCATTTTCCCCAACCAGATTTATCGTGCTGGTCCGGGGGTTTAAACCATTGAACTCGCTTCTGTAACCTTTAGGCCACCACTACTTACTTCAAGGAACAAAGTAATGTCAGTGGTCCCAATGATGTCTCATTAAGTTTAAACAGTTGTCATCAGAAAATATTACAAGTTACTAAATTTATGGCACAAATAATTTACTATTGTTACTGCCACTTCCCAATTAACATGTTAGACAATAGAAAATGTATGTCACCTATATGTCTTCATTATATATAGTTATTGTCTTGATCTTCTGAACCCTTTAAAGAAGTTGTAATTGCTTGTTTGGAGGTTCATCCAGGATCAATTTTGAAGCACAAATGTTATTAAAGTAAAATAATGTTGTAAAGAAAAGATGTGGATCTAACGTACACTGAGTGAGAGCCAGCAGCAGCAGCGATGACAGTCCAGTGATAATGGCAGAGAGCAGAAGCATACCACGCCGACCAAAGTGATTGACAGACAAGCAGATGAAGATGCAGGCCAGTGCTCCGGTAATAACTCGGAGGAAGTAGCTGAAGTAGAAGTTGGTGGAATAACTGTGCAGGTTTCTGGTAAAACAGTACTGGATGCCCGTTCCAATGAATCTGGTGGATAGATGAGTTATACAATACTTAATACACTTAATGCTCCTCCCTTTTATCATGACATGGACATTTCATGGGTGAAATCAGTTTAGTACAATCACCAAATATGAGAATAAGAATAAGAATAAGAACTCACAGCGTGAAGCTGAGGATGAGGCAGTTTTTCCAGATAACACGAGTCCAACGCAGCTCCAGAACTGAAAAGTACTGCGGCCGACAGTCTTCTCCGTATGCTGAATCTATCTCTGTAACAGAAACAGAGAATGAAAAATACCCGTAAAGAATTCAACATAACCCTAAAGATCACCCAAAGTGAGGCATAATTCAGCAGGGTTTAACAATAGGGTTCCTTTGTAACACAAGTTTTTCTCTTGTATAATACAGAATTCAAAAAGACAGAAAACTCACTCTTCAACTTTAAAGAAACATGCATTCAGCAGAACTAATGTGCCCATATGTCATTTTAGGCTGCTTACATTAGTTCTGCATTCAGGTCAAACAGACGAGCAGAAATGTTATGTCCATAACAGATTGATTTAATTCATTGCCAAACATGGAATGTTTAGAAGGTTATTCCAGGTAAAAACCAAAGGCAGTGGTTTGCTGGAGGAAAACATGTCGAGCAAACTTAAAGGTGAATGATTAAAATCAGCAACTATTTTGATAATTGATTTATCATTTGAAAATGTACTGGTTCTAGCGTTTCAGTTGTTAGGATTTTCTGCTTTTGTGTTTTCTGACATGGTAAACTAAATGGCTTAGGGATTTGGACTGTTGCACAAAACATCAAATCTGAAGACACAGTGTGGCTTTAGGAAATATTTGCAATGGGAAAGAGGGGTTAGGGGTTCCCACATAAATCCCAATTAGGGCTGCAACTGCAACAGAGTGCTCTGATGATAGCAAGGATGTCAACATTTAGGTTGAAAAAATGTATTTTGACGAAACCACATGGAAAGTACAAGATGGATTTTGACGTTGTGAGAAAAGAGAAAGAGGTATTGCATTCATGAGAGCTTTGTGTCTAAAACAGTTTGAAATGTATTTTTCCTGTGCACTCATGAGACATCCTGTTCATTCTCTCGGTAATGTTATATCAAGATAATGTCTGTTTTGTTGCTTGTTTCCCCAATATTTTTATTCTTTATTACAATTAAATAGGTTTATGTGAGACTAGATGGAGGGGGGCTGACGGGTTTTAAACTTTTCTTATGGAAGAAAAACTTTGACACCAGTTTGTGTC